AATCAGGATGGGTGTGTCAGAGGCAATGAGTTTGGCACAGGATAGAGCAGGGTTTAGGGCTGTTGTACATAGGGTTGCTATGAGTCGCAAACGACTTGACGGCACATAACAACAACAACACCAACAACAACAACAGTGTCTCCTTGCTCTGTTCTGACGACTGCCTCTTGGTCCAAGTATAGGTTTCACATAAGCACAATGGAATGTTCTGGGATTCCCATTCTTCTCAGAGTCAGCCACAGGTTTGTTTCAGCCCTCAACAACCCTCCATCAGGTTCCCGAGACTGTAAGTCATAAGGGAGAAGACTTCTCATTTTCCTTCTGAGGAGCAACTAGGGAATTTGCATCTCCAAAGACCTAGTCTTTTGGCTAGCATCAATCCCCTATGGTGTAGGCATGAGAGCTCCCTATAGGAGTGATACTCAATGCTGTGTGATGGAACGGACTCATTGCTGAGCCTCCACTGGGTTTCTGAGGCTGCAAATGGCCTAAGAAGAGACTGTCCGTCTTTCTCCCCTTGGAGCCACTAGTGGATTTGAGTATCAGGGAGGCCTTGGGCTTTGGCTTAGCAGTTTAACTTCTGATGTACTATGCCACCAAGCTCCCTATAGAAGGTATTGTTAAGAGCTGTTGAGTTCGTTTTAACTCATAGCGACCCTATGAACAACAGATTTGAACCCTTTCATATACTATGCCATCCACATCATCTCTGACACACTGAAAGGTGATATATTCTATTACTGGAAGTGTTTAACATATTAAAAGGTCAAGTTAAGGCTATTTGTACCTTCTTTCTCTCTACTAATTCCTTCTTTCAAATCCTAACTATACATTACAAGTTTAGCCATTTATCACTGTGCAACCACACTGTTTCCTCAATCACAGCTTTGCCTAAATGTGGGCACATCCTAACAACTGCCATTTACTCTGTTCTTACTATACTACGGCCCAACGGAAAATTTGGCAGTTCAAACCACTAGCCCCTCTGAGGGAGGAAGATGAGTCAGTCTGTTCTTGTAAAGATTTATAGCTTCTGAAACCCTTTGGGGCAGTTCTACCCCAACCTGAAGGATCACTTGGAGTCAGAAATAACCCAATGGGAATGGATTTTCCCATGTTCCACACACTGTGAAAATTACATGAGATATAGTATCCTACTTAATCCTCCAAATAAACCTGGAAAGTAGCTGTGATGATTTATATATAATGATGGCAGAAACTTGAAATACAAAACTCAAGTCATTACACATCTAGTAAACTAACATACAGTAAGGGGCAGAGAGCATCCCTGGGTTGGGCAAACAGTTCACATTCTTGGCTGCTGTTTTACAGGCAAAATGGCTTTTCTAGTTGACTAGTTTGATTTCCAGTAGATGGCTGCTTGGGCGTATGCAAACCAGGTGGATGGGTGACTCATGACAGGGCTGGTTAGTGCACACATGCACACACACACCCCCCACTCAGGTGTAAAGTGAGCAGATTCGGTAGCAGAGATGATGATGATGTCACTCACTACAAGCAAGGAAAGAGGGCAGAGCAGACAGCACACATCCTTCAGGCCAGAGATTCCTGCACCAGTCAGAAGGGAACAACAGCTGCAGCGGACATGAGACAGCTGACTGGCTGGCTTCTCATCTGCTTACATATCTTCACTTCTGTAATTGACCTATGTTCATTTTATTGTGTGAGTTATCCTATCATCTGTAATCCTTTCTCCTAACCTTTCACTCAGCCAGTCCATAGTGAATTTTCTTGAATTTTCAAATTTCTTTAAATTCTTTAAAAATTGTCTATAGCTTCTCACTAGCCAAGAAAGTTTCTCTTCTGCACCCCCCCCCCCCCCCTGCCCCTCTCATGTCCAAATCGGGGATCCCAACTAAATAGGAGTTCAATTCACACACACCGGGGCACGGACCTTCTCTCCTGCTTTTACGTCTGCTCTCTCAACTCACTGTCTCTGAGCTGGAATAGACTCATAGCTGACCCTTTAGTAGGTTTATGAGGCTGTAAATCTCAGGAAAAGGAGAGCATCCATCTTTCTCTCACTGAATCCTCTGATGGTTTCAAAGTGCCAGAGGCATGGCCTTTGGGCTTGCAATGTAACTCCCTGTGGTCTCTCAGGAGAAGGTAAATGAGTATTGAATGGATTAAGGAGACAGGTGGTCTGATATGTCTCAATCACACGTCAATCTATTTCTTTACCCACATTTGGTTACCACTATAGGCTGAAAAACTCTCATCTTAAACAGGGAACTTGTAGACCAGAAACTATTTTCGTGTATGTCATTTTATAAATCACATATAAAGTCAATCACATCTGACTTGCTGGTCAATGGGGCTGGAGAAGTCAGAACCACCTCAGCCTTTCTCTTAGCTGGTTCTAGGAACATGACCTTGAGAGAGCCCTCTGTGTCACTCAACTTCATACCTCAGCTGTTTCCCGTTGTGCTGCTTTCTTTGCAGATTCTCTCTCAGTTTGAAACTGCTTTCTTAGAGCTTCTATGCGTTCAGCATGTAATTCAGCTTCCATTTTGGACTCCTCAGCCATCCGTTCCCTGATTTGAAAAAAGACAGCTGATAAATCACCTTTAGACACTGTCTTAGAAAATGAAGGTTCACAGGGGAATGTTTACATAACCAAAGGAGTAGGATTTCCATCGCCATTATTTCGTCTTGTCATTGTGATGTACTTCCGAGTGTATTTCCAAGTTAGAACCAACTCAGAGATGATACTTGATGGTGTTTTCAGAGGCAGTAAATCACACAAGAGGAGACTGCCCATGTTTCTAGTATAGAGCAACTGGTGGGTTCGAACCCCCTGCCTTTGAGGTAGCAGCACAACATCTTACTACTAAGTCACTGTGGTTGTATGTGCCATTGAGTCACTTGTGACTCATAGTGACTCAATGCCCAATAGCTCTGAGCATTAAGCTTTCGAGCCAATCTCAATGTCTCGGACACATCTGCCCCAATGACCCCAGTTACTATGTTAACACATCTCATTCAGAGTTTTCCTTTCTTGTGCTGTCTCGCCATCATCCCAAGCATGATACATTTCTCCAAGGAATTGTTTATTCCTGGCAACATGTCTAAAGTGTGGCAGACAGACATTCAAAATTCTTGCTTCCAAGTTGCAGCTTGGTTTCACCCTCTCCAGGACAGACCTGTTCGTTCTCTTGGCAATTCATGGTATGTTCTGTACTCTTCTCCAGCACCAACTCAAAGGCATCAATTTTCCTTCCGTCATCTTGAGCCATTGTCCAGTTCTCTAGAGCTCCCTATTTAGTCTTAAAAATTCTTATTTCCTCTCTTCTCATTAAGCTTTATCACCTCCTTCCACCTCCCACATATCATTTAAACCCTCAACTCTTATTTTCTTTGAGGCAAATATGAGACTAACCAACATCAGCTCCCTTCATAGCCTTCCAAATCCATTCTCTCTGGGCCTAAAGGAAGACACTTCTAACTTCATTTTCAATAATAACATTTCTATACACACTTTCCCAGTTCACAGATTTTATTTGTCTAGTTCTTTCCATCCTAAGAATGAAAGAATCAGAGTAACTTCTCTCATATTATGTCCTGAGTTGCTATTTTATCTTGTTGTTATTTAACCCTCTCCTTCTTGCCTGCCATTCCTCTGTAATTGCCTGCTAACTTTGTCATAGTCTACAGCCATGGAACCTGTCCATCTGAAGGACTATGGTAGACACTAAATGCAATACCCAGGGGTTGATTTTCCTCTAATCCTATTCTCTTTGCTTCTTTGGAGCACTTGACTTACTTGTTTTTACCTCCTGATACTCTCTCTAATTCTCTACATGCTCTTTTTTTGGGGTAGATACCTGTGGGTATATTCCTTTACTCTAAAATGCAGTAGGTTCCAAAAGTTCTTAGTTCTTTCGTTTTCTTCTCCATATTTCTCCTATGGAGATACCCATTTGGTGTAACTGACCTCAAGGCTTTAACTCTCATCTTTATAGGGAAGAATTTCTAACCTGTTTCCAGAACTAGTCCTATAATTCTATTAAATAATTTCAGCTCAAACTCAACACATCTAAAATGTAGCCTCAAAACCTGCTTTTTTTTTTTTACCAATACTGTGTGCATAAAAATAAATACTATCTTGCATGTGATTTTTACCCATACTGCTGGTAAAGAAGTATTACTGATTTCTACTGGAAAGATAAACTAAAATAGAGGCATAAATGTAAAATCTCAATCTCCAAGCAAATGTTTCAAAGAAACCTCGGACCCTCATCTTATCCTTTCCCACAAATGGCCTTTCCAAAACCATCTGGCATCAATGGGAGGAACTTCATCAGAAATCACCTAAAGAATTTTCAAAATTGTCATGGTTTGTAACAACTATGAATAATCTAAGCCTAAACGGGTATTTTGTTGTTGACTGCCGTTGAGTCAAGCACAACTTATAGTGAACCTATGAACAAAAGGCCTGAAGCCTTTCTATAAGGATTGTCATTTATCAAAGTTCATAATTTCCAGAGGCATATTGTTTAGGAAGTGGATGCCACTCCTGCTTCCAAACTGGTATTACAAACTTTTAAATGACAGCGAGAGGAATGTTCACTGCTGCTGTTATTCTTGATCAAACTCATGCTTTGGAAAGATGAATTTAGGTGCTAGTAGAAAAAGTTTTACAGTTATATATCAGTGTTCCTCCTAATCACTATGTAAACACAACTTTGTTTCAATCAATACAGAAAATATTGAGTTGGTAATATCTTGTTGTTGTTGTTATGTGCCATTGAGTCGCCTGCGACTCATAGCGACCCTATGTACAAAAGCCCTAAACTCCGCTCTGTCCTGTGCCAATCGCACTGTCTCTGACACACCCATCCCAATTATCCCAGTCACTGAATCAATCCACCTCATAGAGGGCCTTTCTCTCCTGCTGTCCCTCCACCCTCCCAAGCATGATGTCCCTCTCTAAGGACCGGTCTCTCCTCACAGCATGTCCAAAGTATGTTAGATGGAGCCTCAGAATCCTTGCCTCCAAGGAGCCACCTGGTTTAACCCTTTCCAGGACAAATCTGTTTGTTTTCCTAGCAGTCCATGGTATTCTCAATACTCTTCTCCAGCACCACAGCTCAAAGGCATCAATTCTCCTTCTATCCTCCTTGGTCATTGTCCAACTCTCTGGTGCATAACAGGTGATTGCGAAGACCATGGCCTGTATCAGACGCACCTTAGTCTCCAAAGAGACACCACTGCTCTTCAGCACTTTGGAGAGGTCCCTAACAGCAGACTTTCCCATGGCAATGTGCCTTTTAATTTCCTGGCTGCTGGTGCCAAGACTGTTGACTACGGAGCCAAGCAAACTAAAGCTGTGTACAATCTCAATCTCTTCATCATCCATCCTGATGCTGCCAATTGGTCCAGTGGTGAGAATCTTTTGTCTTCTTGACATTGAGCCTCAATCCATATTGCAGGCTGAAGTCCTTGACACTCTGCAGCAGGCGCTTCAGGTCCTCTTCAGTTTCAGCAAGCAGGGTTGTGTCATCTGCATAATGCAGATTGTTGATAAATCATCCACCAATCTTGACCCCACATTTCTCCTCATAGAGCCCAGCCTCCCGGATAATCTGTTCTGTATATAGGTTGAAAAGGTATGGAGATAGGATGCATCCCTGGCGTATGCCCTTCCCAATTTTGAACCATGCAGTGTTCCCTTGCTCTGTTCTGATGACTGCCTCCTGGTCCAAGTATAAGTTTCGCATTAGAACTATCAAGTGTTCTGGGATCCCCATTCTTCTCAGAGTCAGACATAGTTTGTTATGATCTACACAGTCAAATGCCTTTACATAGTCAATGAAACACAGATAGACATTCCTCTGGTATTCCCTGCTTTCAGCCAAGATCCATCTAACATCAGCTACAATATCTCTAGTACCACGACCCCTTCTAAACCCAGCCTGGACTTCTGGTAGTTCTCTGTTGATGTGCTGTTCTAGTCGTTTTTGGATAATCTTCAGTAAAATCTTGCTTGCATGTGAAATCAGTGAGATTGTTCTGTAGTTTCCACATTCTGATTGGTAATATCTTACTAGACTATAAATTTTGCAAAGATCATATACAGGAAAAATATGTTCTCTTTGCTTAAGCGTACACCTTTCTTCTATATCTCCATGTTCACAACAAAAAAAAATGGCCACGTGCACATTTTATTTCCCTTGTATACACATTTCCATGCGATTTTACTGATATAACTTCATGTCTAAATCCTATTTATCTAAGTACAAGACTTTAATGGCTACATTTGACTTATGTAACCAGAGGTCAAAAGAAAACACTTTACTTTGGTAGCTTAATGGTTTCTCTATCCTGTGCCAATCTCACTGTCTCCAACACACGTACCTCCATTACCCCAGTTACTGAAGCAATATACTTAGCAAAGGGTCTTCTTCTCCTGTGCTGTTCTTCCACCCTCCCACACATGACGTCCCTCTCTAAGGACTGGTCCCATCTTGCAACATGTCCAAAGTATGTTAAATGAAGCTTCAGAATCCTTGCCTCCAAGGAGCAGCCTGTTTTAACCTGCTCCAAGGAGAACTTGTTTGTTTTCTTAGCAGTCCATGGTATATTCAATATTCTTCTTCAGCACCACAGCTCAAAGGCATCAATTCTCCTTCTATCCTCCCTAGTCATTGTCCAGCTCTTTGATGCATAGCAAGTTACTGCAAAGACCATGGCATGTATCAGGCACACCTTAGTCTCCAGATTGACATTGTTGTTCTTCAGTACTTGGGAAAGGTCTCTGATAGCAGACTTTCCCATCGCAATACGTCTTTTAATTTCCTGACTGCTGGTGCCAAGAGTGTTGACTGTTGAGCCAAGCAAACTAAAGCTGTTTACAAGCTCAGTCTCCTCACCATCTATCACAAAGGTACAGAGTTCATATTAACCAGCTCTGTGGAAGAAAGATGGACAATCTTCTTCTGTGTGATTTACTTGCTCTAAAAATCTGCTGGAGGATAAACTATGGGTTGGTTCCAACTCAATGGTACACAACAACAATAGGAGTTTAACAACTACTTAGATGGAGTTATGAAATGAAGAATTTTCATTTAGTTGCTGTTATTTCTAACCCAAATCATGTTTTTAAAGGCTATACAAGATTATAGAAAAAGCTTGGCAGAAACATGGAAGTGCCCCTTCCAAGGACTTATCTTTACGTTTTGGCTCAACCTTCACCAAAGCAGCAGCTCAGAACTAGATGAGGGAAGGGCTGTAAAGGAGAATGCACCCTAGACAGCTGTTATCTGCTGCTGCTCAGCCAAGCTTGGTTCCTTCACATGGCCTGCTGGAAGTACTTTAAAAGTAGAAGGAACAAGGAGCTTACATGGGTTAAGTGAATGAACAAGAGGCGCAACCCCTCCCAGAGGCTCTTACCCAACTTTACTGTGACTATATCGTCCTTACTTGAAGGCTTCCAAATTCTGTTTCTCCCGTTCTTTGCTTTCCAGACCCCTCTTGAAGCTACTCTGAAGCTGAGTCCTTTTCATCTTCTCTGCTGAATTCCGTAAAAACAGGAACTTCCCGTTCTTTGCTTTCCAGTTTCTCTTGAACACGATCAAGCTTTGTTTGCAGATGATTATTTGTCTGGAGAGCTTGCTCCAGGCTCATAGCCAGTTTCCTGTTGTCTTCTCTAGCTATATCTATAGCTTTTTGTAGAGGTTCCATCTGAAAGAGAGAAGCATTTCCAATTCCCCTATAACAGGAGCAGAAGTCTATAACACTGTGTGTTCATTCCTTTCACTGTATCAGAAAATATTAAACAACAGTTAGTTGGAACCAGATTAAAATTCCAGATGCCTGAAATATGTCTGAGTATGTCTTAACAGACATTGCTAAAGATTCTTTAAAGACAATGGGAAAGTTATGTTCAATTTGGCATCAATAGTTGGTGTTGTGGTGTACTGTCAAGTTGGAAACAACCCGTAGCTGACCCTTCAGTGTTTTCAGAGGCAGTTAATCATATGGGAGGAGACTGCACATCCTTCTCCTGCAGAGCAGCTGGTGGATTAGAACCATGTGCCTTTGGGATTGCAGTGCAGCTTCTTACCACTAGGCCACCAGAGCTCTGAGAGTTTAATTTATAATAATTTAATAATTTTTCAGTTATGTGAAACAATGAATGAATGGAAATTCAAGTTCTTGATAAACTTTCATTAAAGTAAAGAAAATTTAAACTAATTAAAGCTCTTGACCTTGATCCTCTGACCTAGTCCAAACCTCCAAGGAGAAGAGGACAAATAATTATTCCACGCATATTCTCCCAGAATAAGAAAATATTTATGTTTATTATATATGTGTGCGTATATATATCCAAAAGCCAAACACACTGTCATCAGGGTGATTCTTACTCAAGGGGATCTCCCATCAGGTTTCACTTCTGAGGCTGTAAATCTCAATCGGAGGAGATTGCCTCATCTTTCTCCCATAAAGCAGTGAGAAGACTCAAACTTCTGACTTTACAGTTAGCATCACTAACACATAAACCTCTGTGCCATTAGGATATGGGTGTGTACAACTGGAAAAGGACATGACACTTGGAAAAGTTGAGGGTGAGTGAAAGAGATGAAAGTTCTCAGTGAGAGGGACTGCCAGGAGTGCTTCAATGGTTTAAGTAGAACAGATATTGTGAGGATGACACAGAGTCGATCAGGCAGGATTTCTATCTTAGGATCATAGGGTCACCATAAGCCAAAGTGGACCCCACAGCATGTAACAAACGCCACACTCATGTTGTTGTTGTTGTTGTTATGTGCCATTGAGTCGCTTGCTACTCATAGAGACCCTATGTACAACAGCCCTAAACTCTGCTCTGTCCTGTGCCAATCACACCATCTCCAATACACCCATCCCGATTACCCCAACCACTGAATCAATCCACCTCATAGAGGGCCTTCCCCTTCTGTGCTGTCCCTCCACCCTATCAAGCATGATGTCCCTCTACAAGGACTTTTCCCTCCTTGCAACATGTGCAAAATTATATAGCCACACAAGTGTTTCCAAATTAACTGTGGGATCACTCTAGTCTTTTGGGGGGGGTGTGTGTTTAACTGAGAGTAAAAGAAGTTTGATAAATTCTGCAATTTCTGTAATTGTTTATGTATTACTATATGAAAAGAATGTAAACTGTATGAGATAGAGAATGCAATATTATTTGGGTCCTGGCTGCCAATAAGTGACTCACTGTAAAATGGCAGTGCCATTTCCCATGTGTCAATATGTTAAAAATTCAGGCCTGAATGAAAGGGAAACATAACTGATTATTTCTCATAATTCTTCTGAAACAACAAAGTAAACCAACATACTAATAAAACCCAAGTTTCAACATTACGGTCTTTAGAAACCTAGTCTCTACCTCACTGTTGTGTTGAGCATCCACGACCAACATTCTTGCTTGCCACTGGTCCACTTCTGCTTCTAGCTTCTGCACTCTCTGTTGATTAAGAGCCCTAAATATCAGAAGCACAAAAGAGCGGTCATAGAAAACGTTCACCTCGTCACGGGATGCCTCAGATTGACAGGGCACTCTTCCTTAACAGGATCAAAAAAATATATAACATATATATTTTGTTGTTAGGTGCTGTTGAGTTGTAGACAACTCATAGTGACCCTATGAATGAAAGACCTGAACATTTGTATAATTTTCCTTGTTTCTCGACATTCATACAGTTTTGGAGGCAAGCTATTTCAGAAATGGATGCCACTCCTGCTTCCAAACTTGTTTTAATCAGGGAGCTCCACCAAACACTGCCCACCCTGGGTAACCATTATCACATATGACGTATCAGTATCACAGTGTTTAGTGTCACAACAACCACAAGTTACCTCTGTACAGCAAACGAACAGACAAGTGCTATACCACTTAGAAGAATGTTTGGACCAAAAACAATTAAAAAACCAGGTCTGAGGGCCACAGATTACACACACCATATTTTAGTCCACTAGCATTCGGTTGTGCTTGAATTTAAAAATGTGGTAGTGCTTGGCTAAATCTGCAGACTGATGGCTCCTGTGAATTGGTCTGAGGCTGGGAGATGGCTTCTTGCGTCTTGATGAGGGTCACATATGGAATGTTTGGGGATTTTATGACTTACATTAATTAATTTTGGGATGAACATTCTTTGAAGTGGTAGAGCAGTGGTCTGTCTATTTGCTGTACTGAAGTAACGTGCAATTGCTTTTATGCTGAACAACTGTGTCATAGGTGTTTCAAACACCATAATGGCTACCCATTGTGGGCAGTGTTTGGTGAAGCTTCCAGATTGATTCAGGTATGGAAGCAGAATATCCACTTGCTAAACCACATACCTCTGGAAACTCTATGAACTTGGAGAAATGACGATAGTTATAGAAAGGCTTCAGGCCTTTTGTTTATAGGGTCGCTATTTGACAGCAATGAACAACAACAACTATATATATTACATATAATATATA